AGACAGGGAAATGGAAGGAAGGAAGGAAGGAAGGAAGGAAGGAAGGAAGGAAGGAAGGAAGGAAGGAAGGAAGAAAGGAAGGAAGGAAGGAGTTAGGGGAGAAGAGGGCTAGAGGAAGGGAGGGGAGGAGATCAATCCATTGTGAAAATTCAAATGGGAAGAAAGAACAGAGACAAGGTTTTGCCTCAGAGGCTGTTCCACAGCAATCCCGGGGGGAATGTTTCCCAGCCAGAGAAACCAAGGCTGACTGACCTCACGAGAACCTGAAGAAGCACTTGGCAGCAACTTCTGCAATGCCTTCGCATGGGAAACATGAAGTGTCCAAAAGTGAAGTCATCCTGGTAGCTTAAGCATGGTTTCTTATTGAGGTTAGACAGTGTGTAGCAGGGCTGGGGTGCCCAAAAAGAGACCATCCGGTGGAACTGTGAAGCTGTTGCCTTAAAGACAGCGAAGAAACCAGGGCACTGAAAATGGTAAGATAGCTCAGTTTGATTCCATCGCCAGACGGAGGAGCTGCATGTTCCCTCTTTCATCTGATCTGTTCTCTCTGCATCATCATTCTGCTTCAGAATGTAATATTTACTGTGTATCAGAGCCTTGTATCTTGTGTATATATATATATGACTCAGTTAAAATATTACTTTGATTGCAGAAGAGATTTTAGATGTTGGATTTTTCAAAGAATTTCTCAACTCTTAAAGACTATGGGGACGTTTGAAGTTGGCCGTGGGGGTTTACAGCTTAAAACTGATGTTCTCATGAGTAACCTTGTTATGGTTACTATTTATTATCAATTTGAAAGATCTAGGATTACTTAGGATACACGCCTTTGGGCTTGTCTCTGTGTGGTTTTCTAGAATGGCTTACTAGAAGTTCAAAAAGTCCCCCTTAATATGGGTGATGTCATTCCATGGCCTGGGTTTCTGGGTTGCATACAAAGGAGGAGGCAAGCTGAACACCAGAACCCATTGCTTTCTGATTATTACCTGTATGTATACTGTGACCCATGCTCCTGACACCATATCTCCCCATCATGGATTGTACCCTCATACAGTGTGTCAAATAAACCCTTCCTTTGTTGTTTAAGTTGCTTTTATAAAAATTTTTTTATTTATACCAATAAGAAATATGACTAGTGTGTCTGGAAATATATATGCATAAGCACAAACATAAAATCCTGGGATATTTTAATTTTTTCACAAGGCTACATAGTTTCTATTTATATAGTTTGCATATGATGTCAAAGCTAAAATTTAATTGTCATTTCTGCATGCCTTCAGTGAAAATTTCACTAATGAAATAGATCTTTTTCAAGTTAATTTTAAATAAGAATTTTGATACCATAGTATAAAAATAAATTTAAAATGCCTTGGAGAAAACTCAAAACCACTAATTCACACTAGAATTAGGCTAACCTTATGTTTTCATTAGGGAAATTTGCCATGCCTGGAGCTGATGACATATTGCTAGGTCACACTGCTAATTTTCTGTCTGATTCTGATCTTTTTTTATATTTACATCCATTTTCAGAACATCATTTAAAGTAATTAAACAATTTATGTTAAGGGATAAATAAAATAAACATTTATACATAGAGCCATATTCTAGGGGAGTCATTTTTAAGTTGCTAAAATAAAATAATTACCCAAATTGTTCAGTACCAAGGTTCATTTTTCAGTCATTAATTAAATCCTAATATTGCTGGCACATTTCAGTACTAACTAATGTGTGTAGAGTACTGTATTAGAATTCTGCATATTGTAAATCAGTCTTTAAATAATAAACTAGAAAAAAAAGCACAATATAAAAGACTCCTGCTACTTGCACAGGTTAGCTTCTGAGTACTCATTACTAAGCAAGCACGAAGAATAGGAATACAGACAGCCTTTTTTTTTTTTCCCCCAGGAAGAAAATCATATTTAAATTCTATCACAAGAATTCCTTTTGTAAACTGTTTCAGGAGCACTAGCTGAATATAAAGTCCTGTTTTGTTATTGAGCTCCTTTATAAGATGGAAGAAATTACTTAAACTTTCTTATGCTTATGTTTCTCCTTTATTTAAATAAATGCAATAATCCTTCATTAGGATATTATGGGAAATGAGAGTGATTGTGTGTCTTAAAATGCTTAGCTAGGAGCTGGGCTGAGTTCAGAATAGTTATTTACTATTTAATTTTCTAAATTGTGCCTAAATCACTTTGCTTATCATTACCAATTGGAGTTTAAAGTTTACATTGTGAGTTTTTGGAATAGAGAGTAACAACTCTCATCAAAAAACTATTGTCACTTTTAGTTCACTTATTTTAGTATTCTGAAAGCATAAGCCTGCCTGCCAATCTCAGCTATAAAACTCAGTTTTTCCTAGCTGTGATATAAGACATTAATAACCTAAAAAAGGAAAAAAGAAAGATACAGTATCCAGCCCCACTGTTTCTAGACCCATGAATGGTAATAACATGAATGGAGATGGTGAAGAAGTAGCTCTTTTCCTGCAGTCCACTGACCCAGTCGGCAAAGGAAGCTGGGCACAAGTATACCCATTAAATTCAGGACTGTGGTGACCTCCTCACTTCAAAAAGAACCCAATTCCTAACAACCATTTCGCTATGGCATTGTTGATAAGTTTGGCACCCTCGTGATCCAGTCACTTGGCAAGAGTTCTTTTACAAAGTTGAGGAGTTGATGTGCATGCACAAAAAAAAAAAAAGAAATATATCCTAAACTAGGCTTTCAGATAATAACCATGTTTTGACTTTATAATATTTTGATCCTTAAGAACATAAGAAGTCAGTCTGAATAATTGATCAAGGTCAATATTATCACCATAGTGTCCATTAGAAATTCCTGAGTTTATCCCCCAATAACAGGGAAAAGCAGTACAACCCTGCTAAATTATAACCACCATTAGAACAGGGAAAATTTTTTTTGTTTTAATTTTTTTTTACTACTTATTCATTATATGTCCTGATTGAAGCCCTCTCCCTCAACTCCTTCCAGTCCCTCCCCCCTTCTTATCTCCAATCTCCTTCCCCTTGTCCACTGAAAGGGGGAGTTCTCTTCTTCTGCCATCTGCCAATAGCTAATCAAGTCTCATCAGGACTGCTTGGATCCTCCTCCTCTGTGGCCTGGCAAGGCCACATCACCAGGGGCAAATGATAAAAAAGCAGGCAATCGAGTTCATGACAGAGCTAGCTCCTGCCCCCACACGGAGACTGAGCTGCCAATTGACTACATCTGAGCAAGGGTTCCTTTCCATGCATGATCCTTGGTTGATGCATCAGTGGAATACTACAGCTATTAAAAACAAGGAAATCATGAAAATTTCAGGCAAATGGATGAAACCAGAAAAGATCATCTTGAGTAAGGTAACCCAGAAACAGAAAGACCTGAATGCTATACACTCAGATATTAGCAGATATTAGCCTTATAATGTAAGATAGACATACTACAATCCACAGATCTAAAGAAGCTAAACAAGGAAGACCCTAGGGAGGATGCTTAAATCTCATTCAGAATGGCAAACAGGATAGACACCAGAAATGGTGGAAGAGAGGGAACAGGATAGGAGCCTACTATAGAGGGTCCTCTGACAGACTGCACCCAACAGGAAATCAAATAGATGCTGAGGCTCATAGCCAAACTTTGGGCAGAGTATAGGGAATCTTATGAAAGAAGAGGGTGACAGAGGAACACGGAGGGAACAGGAGCCCCACAAGGAGACCAACAAAGCAAAAACAAAACAAAAAACCTAAACAGAAAAAATTTTAAGGCAAATTTTAAAGGCCCTGGCTCATACTCTGTATAGCTAGAAACTATATTACAGAACTGTAAAAACTCTCATTTACACTAACATTTCTATTACTTACTTATCTCATATGAATTTGAACTGAGTTTCCATAAAGTACTAAATTAGGAGTAAACATAGACATTGTAGCATTTGCAGTGTCGTTCACTGGTACCAAAAGTTCACTGGAGTCAAACTTGAAAAAGGTTCCGTTAGCAGTTCTCCTTAGACTTCAGGGAATTGTTCGGATGTTTGAGGACGGCATCTCGTCAGCATTCTAGCTTTGTACTCATACTAGAAGGCACTGATGTAGGTGGAACATAGCAAGTTTGAAAAGCTAAATCTGAAATGGTTCAATGCTTACGAGATTCTGAGCAATATTTTGAAGCCATGAGAAGAAAATTTTACACCAGAAGTCATGAGGCAAATTCAGGCCACAGCATGGGATCACTGAAAAAGTTGTATAAAGCTTGTTCTGCATATCATATATATAATATTTTACTTACATATAATTTATACTGTTTTTTCATACACACACATATAGATGTATGTGTATGTAAAAAATAAATTAACTCTGTGTTTATAATTTTGAACAGTCAAGAAATACCTCATTATGTTTATACAAAAATCTGAAAACTATCAAAACCATAAAATGCCTCTCATTCTGAGGTGTTCAGAATGAGCGCATAGGAGCTACATAATCTATACCTCTTTGAATGGCTCATAGCCAGGACTGAGCAATGACATGCAGGGAAACACAGGCAGCTTATGAATACATTGATGATCATGTCTCTTTACAAGGATCATGTAGGATTATAACCTCTGTATGATTATAAGCTTTTTGTGAAACAGCCAGGATAAACTACCCCAGTTTTATAAATAGCAGATCATTTTGTTACCTTACATGGAAACAGAGTGCGTACCAGAGAGAAAAGTACAGTTTGGGATAGTTTTGACATTACTTTTCTTGACAGACTGGTGTAAACATCGCTTGTTGGCTTAACTGGTCTCTAAGTATCCAGTTGTGACGTGGAACAAGTGCAAAAGTCAAGTGGTCTCAGCACCAGAGCTCACTTCCCCCTTGGAATGCTTCTCAGTCAGTAGCTGAATTAATGTTGATGGGATGTGATATGCCGTGCATTGACATAGCAGTTAGTGTATTGTAAGGATGTCTTAATGGAAGCCGACAGCACAAACTTGGGTTCTTTCATTGCAGATAAAAAGACTTGTGGACCTCATGAATTCCAGTGTAAGAACAACAACTGTATTCCAGATCACTGGCGGTGTGATAGCCAGAATGACTGCAGTGATAATTCTGATGAAGAAAACTGCAGTAAGTGAATCTTGCCTAATGACGTTGCAAGCCTGTCAGCCCATTCAATAAGCAGTATGGCAATTTTTATTTCAGTTAAGGTAAAATTTGGACCCCTCTGTCCTGAAGCTCACATTTTTATACATATATTCACATTTGGACAGAATATTCAGAATAAATTGACCTGACTCTTAAAGGATAAGATGATTGGAATGCTTACCCTGGGAGTTATTTTCTTTCAGCTCTCAGAATTGGTAGGGGAGTATCATGAGGTTTAATGCAGCCCATTAGTATGCAATGAAGAAAGCCCTTGATGCAAGTTCATACAATGAACTGACTGATGTGCAGACAGCACAACACATATCATGTTTAACGAATGCTATTCATTCCATTTCTGCCTCAATCCTTTTACACTACAAATTCACCCATGAGCATCTTTCAGTGACTTATCATTTATCCTCTCTGGAGTAGTGAACACCATCTGCATTCAGGATGCTTTTCTCAGAAAATAGAATAACACTGATGGCATCTTCATGCTGAACTTTTATGTAACAAATTTAATACCAATAATTATCCAGTAATTATGTTTTCTAACTGAGGCAGAGTGACTGTACTTGAGCATTGATTTATCAGCAAAATTCTTATTAATGCTTTTATATGTGAGCAAAACTTAATATCACCATGGTTAAAATAAGAAAATCATCAAATTACATTTGTTAAATATTTATATTTTGTTCCTTTCTAAAAAGATTTGAAGCAGATGGATGACAATAATAGCTTCTCTTCATTACATCAAACTAATAGTATCCATTCCCAGGAGGAAATAACTTAATCTACATAACAATAAATCATGAAGGCATGTAGTTGCTGGAGTGAAAACTGTAGTGAGTCACTTGGATATTCAGCCTGCAAAGCATGCACTAATGTTTTGAATAACATTTGGAGGAGTGGTCCCTGCGCTTGACAATCAAATCATTTGGAGTATCTGAATGTAGCAGCCCTGTAATTCTCACTTTATATACATAATCCTAGTGGATCAGGGTTTACAGATGTAAAGAATATGGCATGGACTTATTAGGGATTCAGACTCACTTAATCAGCAGTCAAAACCATCTTTATACAGCAGAAGCTCAGATATAACCAATGATTAAAATAAATATTAGATGAATTTATGATGACACAAATAAAAAAATAAATTGAAAGTACAAGAATGTATAAACTTGATGCATCAGCCATTTCTTGGATTTTTTTTTTATATGCTTAGTCTTAGTCATTTAGATACCTTGAGCAAACACTCCGTGCTGAAGGGTACAAAGGGACAAGAAGGTGAGCGAGAAGAAACCTTGGAGACTAACATTTAGTGCAGTTTCTCTCTTCCCTGCTTGTAACTAGATACTGAACCAAGGGAGTTATGACACTCTAGGCCAATTCTCTATGTACCACATTTTACATTTATTTTGAGGTAGAATTTCTCTACACTGAGAGAAATTTGACTTTAAACTCACTGTGTTGCCCCAACAGCCCTTGGATTTGTGACCTTCTTGCTTCACCATCCCGAGTACCTGGGGTTCTAATCTTGCACCACCAGGCCCAGCTAAAGTAGAACTTTGTTCAGTGAGTTGTTGAAATTGTACAAGAAATTAGATTATTTCTCTAGTAAGAAAAAGAAAGGAAGAAGAGAGGATGAGCACGTCTGAGTCAGCTGGGGTTCCCAAAGTGGCTGAACATTATTGCTCAGACATTTAGAAGTCAGCTTTTGGCAAAGGTGACAGGAACTGGTCATTGAAAATATAACCATTAGGATCAAATGGAAGGGGAGGAGGACCTCCCCCTATCAGTGGACTGGGGGAAGGGCACAGGAGGAGATGAGGGAGGGAGAGTGGCATTGGAAGGGAACAAGGGAGGGGGCTACAGCTGGGATACAAAGTGAATAAACTGTAATTAATAAAACAATAAATAAGTTTAAAATAAAAGAAAGACTAAAGGGGCCAGGAGTTTGTTTTCTTTTTTTTTTTTTTCTTTTTGCCACATGGCATGCCTTTAGTTCCAGTACTTGGGAAGCAGAGGCAGGTGCACCTTTGTGAGTTTCAGGTCAAGGCAAACCTGCTCTACCGAGCCAGTTCCAAGACTACATAGAGAAACCTTGTTTGAAAAACAGAGAGAGAGAGAGAGAGAAAGAAAGAAAAACTAAAGGAAAATGTCCATTTAAAATTATGTGTTCTTCTCTTAGTTTTATATTTATTCTGAGAAGCAAATGAGGCATTTAAAAATGCAAACACCAGCACTTCTACATAAGCAAAACATTACCAGTGAAGGAAGAGTCATTGCAAAGAGATTCGAAATACAGAAACTATGCTTAGGCAAATGTCACTGCAGTAAGATGCCATCAACAAATGTCCAATCTCTGATATTAAAGCTAGCATAAGTGTATACTTATATACACAGCAATGTTCAAACACATATGTACTTTATGTTAGGTGTACAATTCTTAGTTTTTAAATGTATATGTATGTAATAGTATATTATCATAATTTTCAAAACTATTGACCACTAATGTTCACTTTAATGTATACTCATCACTTCCTCTTAATCATTTATTAAATAGCAAAACAGACCAGAAATAATAAACCAGTTTTCCTTTTAAGAAATAGCACCCACTTATTTTTTTAATTTTCTTTTGTATAGCATTACATTTAAGAAACAACACCCACACACTGTTGAGTTCTTTTTGCTTTGCTTATGAATGTAACTTAGTGCACCTTATTTTAAATTATGTTACAAAAAAATAGTTATATGCATGAGAATAATTAATGTAGTAGTAGAACCATTAATTTCCAGCTGGGTTTGAATCAAAATATGTTTTTCGCATTCTAACATTCATACGGGATTATCAGTCTATAGACATTGTCTCTCATCTGCTGATCATTTCCTTTGTTAAGTGTTCAGTGGATATTGCTTTAGCAATGGTCTCTGCTCTAAAATCAAGAAATTATCACTGTCATTTGAACCAGTTTTGTAATTTAACCATAGTCGTGAAAACACCCTAATAGTCCCATCATATTCTTACTTTATCAATAAAAATGATATTATGCCACTGAAGTTTCTATGTAATCAATGCAGATAGCATAATATTTTATACATTTTTAATTAAGATGACAATAATTATAATTTTAATGCTATGTAATTTTATCAGAGAGATTAGCTTTTGTGCATAGAGAAGTCCCTCAAGTTTACTTGAATGTCTGGATTCTTCCCATTGAGTCTACATCAAATTGTTTTATACATATCTTTTGCAATATCTGTGTGGTAATAGTCCTCAGTTGTTGACACCCACATTAATACAACTTTTGTGGACAAAGAGTAGCTGCTGCTCAGTGAAGAATCTGCTGTGTTGTCCTGTGAAGTCTGTGGTTTAGAAGGTTGCTTTCCTTCAACGTTGGTGTCTTCAGTTCATTTATGATAGTGTTGAAAGCACTCTTCAATGCTTAGGTTGTAGTTTTGCCTCCCATAGTAAGATGTGGTTTTGCTTCCATTAGTATAGAGAGAACTAGCTATTTTGTTGGGGTGACCCTGTGGTTCATGGCTCCTTTGAAATCCAGGAATCCTCAAAAACAGGGGAAACAAGCCCCCACAAACTTCCTGGTTGTCAATATGCCTCGGCAAATTTATGGCAAACATGGTAAATTGTTCATGTGCTGGTTTTCCCATCCAGTCTTGAGATAGATAGATATACAGTTTATGTTAGAGACAATTAGAATGGGAACAACATTTTAGCAATTCTAGGTAGAAAAGGCTGCATTTAGACTTTCTTTCAGATGGATTAGCTACCAGAAACAGCCTTGCTGCTGCTGAGGTTTTAATATGCATGAATAGTGAGACCAGGACAACAATCTCAAACTGTTCTTCTACTTTATCTGAAAGGCCTAAAGTTTTTATAAGCAAATGAAATATTAAAATTGACTGATTTCAATTTATTTTAAAAGTGTTTCAAAGTCAACTAACTAAAGACAAGTACATATTCTTTGTCACATTAATGAGCGTTAAGAAACATTCCTCAGTGTCACATTTGTGCATGGAAAGGCATCTTTGCTGCTCTTCAGGCATTTTTGCTGCTCTATATGTGCTGGTAAATTTTAGGGCAAGGCAAAATATAATCAAAATTAACCCTGCCAATTCAAAACATTTTCATGAAAAATAGCAGTCTTTCTCCTTCCTTACTGGAGCAACAAATCTAATAATTTAGGGCAAACATTTTATAAAACAAATTTACTCTGTAACTATTAATTACATGTCTCCAAGAGACTGTGTAACTTATTTATAATCTTATGTCAGCAACTTCCAACTCTCCATACAGCAAAATATGTCAAAGCCTTGGAATCCATTTAGCACATAGGGAATATATTTGTCTTTAAATAGAATAAACACAAGCTATAACAGAACAAGAAGAAATCCTGTTCACCCTCAGGTACATGTGCATAAGTGTTTTTTCCTGTGGTTCCTAAGTGTCTAGGTATGTTCTTTTTTATTTTTATTTTTATTAATAACAGTTTATTTACTGTGTATTCCAGCTGTAGCCACCTCCTCCATCCCTTCCCAATCCCACCCTCCCTCCCTCTTCTTTTCCTATGCCCCTCCCCTAGTCCAATGATAGGGGAGGTCCTCCTCCCCTTCCATCTGACTATCTGGTATATCAGGTCCCATCAAGACTGGCTTCTTTGTCTTCCTCTGTGGACTGGTAAGGCTGCTCCCCCCTCAGGTGGAGGCGATTAAAGAGCCAGTCCATGAGTTCATGTCAGAGAGGGTCCCTGTTCCTATTATTGGGGAAACCTCTTGTACACTGAGCTACCATGGGCTACTTCTGTGCAGGGGTTCTAAGTTATTTCCATGCATGGTCCTTGTTTGGAGTATCAGTCTCAGAAAAGACCCTGTGCCCAGATTTTTTGGTTCTATTGCTCTCCTTGTGGAGTTCCTGTCCTCTCCAGGTCCCATTATCTCCCCCTTCTGTCAGAGGATTCCCTGCACTCTGCCAAAAGTTTGGCTGTGAATGTCAGCATCTGTTTTGATACCCTGCTGGGTAGAGTCTTTCAGAGGCCCTCTGTGATAGGCTCTGTCCTGTTTCCTGTTTTCTCCCTCTTCCAATGTCCATTTCATTTGCCTTTCTGAATGAAGATTAAAATCAATAAATTCGAAACAAATAAAACAATTCAAAGAATCAATGAAACCAAGAGCTGGTTCTTTGAGAAAATCAACAAGATCGATAAACCCTTGGCCAAACTTACTAAAAGGCAGAGAGACACCATCCAAATCAACAAAACCAGAAATGAGAAGGGGAACCTAATAACAGACACTGAGGAAATCCTTAGGTTTTACAATCATTAGGTCTTACTTCAAAAGCCTATATGCCAAAAAATTTGAAAATCTAAATGAAATGGACAATTTTCTTGATTGATTCCACTTGCCAAACCTGAATCAAGACCAGGTAAATCAATTAAATAGTCCATATCCTGTAAGGAAATAGAAGCTGTCATCAAAAGTCTCCCATCCAAAACAATAAAAACAACAACAACAAAAACAAAAAAACAAAAAACCCAGGGCCAGATGGTTTCAGCGCAGAATTCAACCAGACTTTCAAAGAAGAGCTAACACCAATACTCTTCAAACTATTCCACAAAATAAAAACAGAAGGAACATTACCAAACTCATTCTATGAAACTACAGTCACCTTGATACCTAAACCTCACAAAGACCCAACAAAGAAAGAATTTCAGGCCAATCTCTCTTATGAACATTGATGCAAAAACACTCAATAAAATACTTGCAAACCAAATCCAAGAACACATCAAAGATATCATCCATTATGACCAAGTATGCTTCATCCCTGTTATGCAGGGGTGGTTCAATATATGGAAATTCATCAATGTAATCCACCATATAAATAAACTGAAAGAAAAAGACCACATGATAATCTCCTTAGATACTGAAAAAGCATTTGATAAAATCCAACATTCATTTATGTTGAAAGTCCTGGACAGATCTCAGGGATACAATGCACTAGGTATGTTCTAAATGCACTCTCTATATTTTGCTAAGAAAAGTCATTTTGTTAACCATCATTTGTTTAAAAAATGCACAGTTTTAATCTAAGAATAAAGTTCCCTGTGTTTACAAAGTTCAGTAAAATACTATAGCTATTGACTGTGGTGATGATGAGAGGAAATTAGTAAAGTAAAGAGATGAAACAAAAAGAAGTCTGTTTCTTACTTTCCTTGAAGCATTTCTGGAATGTGTAGAAAACGATATACACTGTTTTAGTTACAAGCATAATCTTGAATATCGAGTTGTATTGGTTCAATTAAATGTTAGTTAGTTTGATTACTTAGTCATTTAGAGTGATTACTTAGTCATTTACTCTCTCTGTGCCTCAGTTTGCTCATTTAGATGGGGGATAGCGATGTATATACCTTGTAGCATTATACTGAGGTTTGAGCACTAAGTTAGTTCAAGTACTCAGCCAAACATATTCCTAATGTATAATGGCAAATAGATCATAAGTACCTGACAGTTACAGTTTTTATTAGTATCACCAAAGTTATTTTAAGATTAGGGATTAGAGCATAATATATATATATATATATATATATAATATCATATATACATATCTGATAAAGACAAGTGACAGAGCAGTTACTTAATGCCCACTAAACAAAGTAGCAGAGTCCTGCTAGAAACTATCTATTTAGGAATGTTTCTGCATTTGCTGTTATTTGGATTGGTGTCTGGGTTTTTTTGTTTGTTTGTTGTTTATTTTTAATTTTTGTTGGCTTTGTTTTTGTTTGAGAAAAGCTTTTGCTTTACAGAGAAGCTAGCCTGGAATTTGCTAAACACTCTAGACTGGCCTGAAATTTGGGATTGTAGGTCTCACTATTAGGCTCAACCAGTTACTTGTTTACTCAACCATATGCTAAGGCAAAGTCAGTTCTAAAGCAGAACAAATTGCCTTCTGATATATGTTACTTTCTCACAGTTCTTCAAAATTGCCATTTATAAAAATGTAGGAGCCACAACACCAGTGAGCACTACCCAGAGATTGAATAGCTCATGGACAGAGATGTTTAATAGAAGGCTGCATTGCTGAACAGCTCAAGTAGAGTGTTTCCTAATAGAAGGCTGAGTTGTTCCTAGACAAAACAGTATCAGTCTTCCTGTAGGTGTTTCTCTGGATAGATGCCATTATCTATTCCTCTTTCACATGTACAAAGTTAATATTGCATTGGCCCTAGCTGCAAAAAGAATGAGTAAAAATATGCTTAAAGGATATTTATGTAATACCTAAAAATAGACTTATATAATCAAAAAGTAAGTTAAAATAAATAAATAAAACATTTGTAAGAAACAATGATAAAGAAACCAGTGACTGATTTTTCTCATCTAAGATGGCAGCCTGGAGAAGGGTGATTCCCAGCTGTCACTCTGACTACTTACCAGAATCAAGTTCTGAAATCTGACCTCAACATGGTAAAATAAATAAACAAACAAACAAATAAATAAATAAATTCCCTTTAAGGCTGAAGTCAAACAGTTAAGGCATGCTATTTGATTTTAGTCCTACAAGGGATTTGGCAATTAACCTAATAGTGAGGAAATTTTCTAAATTGACAGGGCTAAAATAACAATTACACAAACAAATTGCCTTTTTTTTTTCAAAGAAAGTCTACCACACATTCACAATGCCATGTTTGTCCACCCTTCTTTTCCCATGGAACTCTGGATTCTCCTATGAAAAAATCAAGCAAACAAAACCCCTAGCATACATAATTAAAAGTAACTATCAATAATGTTTAGTTTTCCTATCATGTTTTTAAATGCACTAATAGATACAGAATGGCAGGAAATGTTTATTACATACATTAAATGGCTTAGAACTCCAACTGGAAAAGTCCATGTCACAGTAAAGTAGTATATAAATTTTCTATGTTTGATTGTCCTTTTCTATTATATTTTATTACACAGTAACCTATCTTTTATAGTTCTCAATATGTTTTGAATAATGATTTTCATTAACAACTTTAGAATTACATTTGAAGGGTTAATATAGCATGTTCCATAAATTCTCCCTGAGACTTTTTTCCTGAATAGTCTCACTGCTTCTGCTTGCCCAGCCTCTTTTCTTTCCCATCGCCTCCTCATCTTGATCGGAATGAAGCTGATAAACACTCTCACCCCATGCTTTCTATCTCCAGAGCCACAGACCTGCACACTGAAAGACTTTCTCTGCAGCAACGGGGACTGTGTCTCGTCAAGGTTCTGGTGTGACGGGGAGTTTGACTGTGCCGATGGCTCTGACGAGGTAGGGATCCCTGGGAATACAGACGGTAAATCAGGTTGGGTCATCACCGCTCAGTGTGGGAAGTGTGACCATCTCTGGTCTGGATGCCCCGAGGTAAGTCGTAACTTCTGTGTTATGCTGCACAGTCCTCACAGAATAACTGTGCTACTACTGACAAGTAATTCTATAGTCTGTTTAGATACCTGACCAAGAAATAGGATGTTTATTTATAATTTTGATGAGGTATTGATGGCTGTTATTAATGCTTTGTACATTTTGAAGTTTTTCTTCTGTAGCTAAAGCTTCACTGTGGGTCATCAGTTTTCATAGAATCATGGATTAAGCTTTCCTTAGATGATGGATCACAATCCATTTATTATAGAGTCTATGCTTTAGGTAAAAATAAGAGGTAGTGTCTGTGGACAACTCTGCAAGCTTGAGTTGTGCTTAGGCGTGCCTGCTATGTATGGTGTGACTCCATGAAACTTTAAGACTAATCATACTGAAATAATACAAGCTTTGTGCTATACCACTGAAGTAAGTGCAGGAAGGATCACTTTAAAGACTTTTCTTAGTGAGCTGAATGGGAGGAAAGCAGGGAACGTGAATGAACCCAAGGGAAAAAGTGGTTTTTAGTTTCTCATGGAAGTCATTGATCTTTTCCTCATAAAGTACTGATCTAGATATTTGTTGCCTCTTCAGCAAATACATGCATTCACTACTCATGGAAACAATTCCATGTCATTTAGACTGTAGAGGATTCTCTGCACAGCTTTAGAGGTTTCTCTTTCAAGCCGACCTTCCCTGAATATCATCTGATTCCTTGCCTGTGGGAGAAACACAACTTACCTGTACTGTTTGTATAATAGTCCATACAATGTAGGACTTTCCCAGTGTACCACCATTCTTACAAGGAAAGACACTTCCATTCCCTCACCATTTTGGAAAAACCATTCTAATCACAGCTAGGAATACAGGGGTTTAGGCAAAAATTATGTGTGACTTCTTACTTCAAAACCAGCAAACCTGAATCTCAGATTTGTGAAAATATCTCAGGAGAAGTGGGAAAATATCCATTTTACTCAAGGGTTATTCACAAAACAAAATCTAAACAAGATTCAAGGTGACTATATAGTTTACAGTGATCAGTTACATACTTATTTATCATCTATCATTTTAAAATGTTTTAAACATTGCCAAGTCAGGCAAATGTATTTCATGCAAACTTATCTATGCCATGACAATGTTTTTGTTCTTATCTTGCTTTCCTACCGTTCTCCAAAAACTTTAAATATATTGTTTCAGCCTTATGATTTCTTGCTGCAGATTATTACTAGATGTTCAAATATATAAGAATAAAATTCTAGTTTTAGTGTAAATCTTTCCAAAATATTATTATTTGGAAGTAATTGTATTTATTAACAGCATTCATCGCATGTCATTGAGTTGCTGGGCACAGCACTTTCCTGGCTGAGTATAATTCTAATTACTAAGTGTTTTCAAGGCAATACTCTAAAGAAATCTTTCTTTAATATAGTCTTCATTTACAGACAGTGCAATCTGTTACTAAGTTCTATTTTTTTTTCTTTAATCACTACAGTAACATTTTGTTTGATATCAGACAGTAAAGCAAAAGATCAAAAAGAGAACTTAGCAGAAAGTTAGAAAGACAATTGGATACAGTATTAGATTACTAGAAAGTAGAACAGGAGAATTGTAGTCTTTTGTATACACATATACTCAGAGCATGTGTTGTTAATAATATCTTCTCAAAACAAGATGAAATAAACTTTAAACCTTGGATTAGCTTAATCTGCCGGCTGCATAGAAACTTATCTTTTAAAATTTTAAATTACATTTTTATTTAGTTTCGTTTAGTTTTCTTTTTATTGAGCATGGGGGGGGGGGATTGTGAACATGTGCCACGATATGAATGTAGTCAGAGACAACTGGGAAGAGTTGGTTCCGTGCTTCCTTTTTCGAGACTTCTGGGTATTGAACTTAGATTGTCTGGCAGTAAATACAACAACAAAATAATAAATAAGTTTTAAAAATCAATATGAGATCCTGCTTAACATTTCTTTTTTCGTAAACCATCTACGTCTAAAAACAGTACACAACCAAGAGATACCTAGGAGTAATGGCTCAGTCATGTTTTCACAGTGGTTTATATGTATCGGTTTTTCACTTGTTAGAAATGGGACATTATGGGGGGGGGTGTAATTCTAGGTCTGAGAAAGAACTTCACACCATGAAGTGCTAATAATATCATAGGATGTGAGCACACAGGACTGTAGGGTCAGTGACCACAGGGCATGGAAACAGGCTTGAAAGGGCCTTGACTGACAGAGGGATTAAGTTCAGTATCTGAAATAAAATGCTGTAATAGACTGAAACACAATAAACATAAAATCAGTGAGTTCATAATATTACTTAAAAATAAGATCACAACAGTAAGTTTTGGGTTTGCTAAGATATTAACATTCTTAAGAAAATGTAAGCTTCAGTGGTAAAGAGCTCTTGCTTATAATTTCCTGTAACTACAGTTTCAAGGAAATCTAACTCTCTCTTCTGGTCTTCCTAGAAACTGCATGCACATGATGCTTATACATACATGCAGGCAAAACACGCATGGGCATAAAATCAAAATAAATAAATCTTGGAAAAAAAGGTTGCAATGAGTTGGTAGAGGAGGACAAATATATTCAAGATATTTTTAGAAAATCTTCAAATAATAAATACTATAAAAAAGATAATATAACAGATTTTTAAAGTGTAAGACTTTCTTTAAAAGAACAAATAATACTTCTAAGCAATAAATAATATTTCTTAAAAAGAGAAAATGGGAAACAGTTTTTAAATGCAAGCATAGTTTTTCCTAAATTCAATATATAGATCTACTTTGAATATTCATTTTGCCAAATAATATATGTAAATAAATAAAGATATTTTATGTGGTTTACACATACTAAGAATTATTATTTTTTTGTGTATCACTGTTAATTTTCCAATGCCATTGTTGTGTAAATATATTCTGATATATATGTATAGATAGATAGATATAAAATGTGTAGAGGGTGGAGGAAACATGAATTGTGAAGTCTTGATGAATAAAATATGCAGATGACAGTAACCTCTGGTTGATTATATTATGCTTTTAATTATTTAAAATAACTAACAGCCAGCCCTCATATACATACATACATAATACCACATTGTAATTCATATCAAGCTTAACTCTTATGTTAGAAAACATCTAGAGGCCCACCTTCTCTATTGTTGTCTAAACACTAGACACACCAATGCTATTTATTATTAATTTATTTTAGTTAAATGACGCTAATATAACTATTCGCTAAGTCTCGGAATGTTTATCAAATAGTTGTCATCATGGGATGGATTTAAATATTGGGTTCATAAATATGCATAATCTTTTGCACATGGGGCTTAATTATATATCATAACGAGAAAAACAAACAACAAAAAAAGCTTCAAGCCTACACACTTTTATGAACACAGATACAAAAATTCCTACCATAATACTCACAAACTAAACCCAACAGCCTGTTACAAAATTATTCACCGTGGTCAAGAGGGATTCATTCTAGGGATACAAGGGTTATTCGGTATCTGTAAATCAATAACCATAATACACTGAGACAACAAAATGATAAAAACAGATGATAAATTTTATAAAAACAGGATGTCCTCTGAAAGGCTCTACCCATCAGGGGATACAAGCAGATGAGGAGACTCACAGCCAAACTTTGGACAGAGCACAGGGAGTCTCACGGAAAAGTTGGGGAATAGAAGGATCCAGAGGGAAAAGGATTACCACATCAAAGAACAGAGCCAACAAATCTGGCCCACAGGGGCCTGCAGAGACTCATGCAACAACTGAGGAATACACATAGAGGCCATCTAGGGCCCCTGCTCAGATGTAGCCAATAGCGCACTCTGCACGAGGGTTGTCTAGTGAGGGGACTGGACAGGGACTCTGTTGCCTGCTCCTTGATCTCTTCCGCTGGGCAGGGCGGCCTTGCCAGGCTACAGAAGAAGAGGATGCAAGCAGTCCTGAAGAGACTTGATACATTGTCTGTGGCCAATGGTCAGGGAAGAGGGCTCCTTCTTTCGAGGATTGGGAGGGGCGGTGATAGGAGGGAAGAAGAAGGAAGTGTGGGACTGGGAGGGGATGAAGGAGGGGGCTACAATTGGAATATAAAGTGAATAAATATTTTTAAAAAATTGAGGAATAAATGTGCAAGATTAAAAGAGAGAAAAAAAGAATTTTAATGGAATTTAACTGTCATTTTTAATTTTTTTGTTATTATCATTTATTACAATTTATTCAATTTGTATCCCAGCTGTGGCCCCTCCCTTGTCTCCTCCAAATCCCACCCTCCTCTGCCTATGCCCTTCCCCTAGTCCACTGATAGAGGAGGTCCTCCTTCCCTTCTATTTGACCGTAGCCTATCATGTCTCATCAGGACTGGCTGCATTGTCTTCCTCTGTAGCCTGGTAAGGCTGTACCCCCCAGAAGAAGGTGATCAGAGAGCCAGCAACTGAATTCATGCCAGAGAAAGTCCTTGCTTCCCTTACTAGGGCACTCACTCGGAGACTGAATCTATAGGCTACATTTGAGCCAGGGTTTTAGGTCCTCTCCATGCATTGTCCTTGTTTGGGGTATCATTCTCTTTAAGGTTCCCAGAGCTCAGTTCTTCTGGCCCTTTTGGGTCTTCTTTTGGAGCTCTTGTCCCTTTCAGGTCTTTCTATCTCCCCCTTCCTTCCTAAGATTCCCTGCACTCTGCCCAAATTTTGACTATGAGTCTCAGCCTCTGCTTCAATACCTCGATCAGTAGAGTCTCTGAGAGGCTTTCTGTGGTAGGCTCCTGTCCTGTTCCCTGTCTTTTCCTGTTTCTGATATCTATCGTGTTTGCCCTTCTGAATGAGGATTTAACTTTCATTTTAAACACTGAAAAAATAAGTTATCTAGGCCAAAGATAAAGGCATTAGTGATAAGA